TGTGGTCCTCTGGGGATTCTAGCTTCTCGGAAGTTCTCTGAGAATCTCTTGAATCTTCTGAGATCCTTGGAGAGAAACTATTCCAGGTTCCAGAGGCATCATCTTCTTCTGTGTACTTCTGTGAGTGGCACTGAAGATGGAACCCAAGGCTAGGCAAGTGCTCACCACTGAGCAACCTCCTCAGTCCTTTTGAAATTTTTTTTTTGAAACAGGATCTGGCTAAGCTCCCTCGGCTGGCCTGGAAGTTGTGAACCTCTTCCTCAGCCTCCCAGCAGCTGGTGTTACAGGTGTACATTACCATGCCTGACCAGAGACTTCAATTTGAAAAGCTAGGACAATCCCCAGAAAAGTAGAAAAAGTTGATTGCCCTAACTTCCACTTCCCCCGACCCTCCACTTCTTCCCTTGGCTAATATAAACCAGCACTAATACAGTGCTAACACCAAACTTAAGATAGAGATAAAGAACATTCAATCAATAACACAAAGAAGAAAATCAAGAACAAGTTGATTACAAAGGCCAGCCCACATAAATCAATCATAAAATCCTTTAAGCTGAGAAAACCCACAATGGGAACTAAGCCCTATGAGCTCATTGGTGGTGATCTCTGTGCTTATCACATTGTTTTTCAACTGATCTGTTGAAAAGGACAAATTATCTGGAGGAACTATTTTTTTAGAATTTAAGATTCAATGCTGGAGTGTGATTTCTCTTAATTTACAAGGGGTTTACCAAGAGCATTGCCCTTCTGAACCAGCAGCATCAATACCACCAGAGAATATGTTAAAAATAAAAATTCTTGGGCCCTACCCCAAACCAAGTGAGTCAGAGACTCTAGGGATGGGGGTCAGCAATCTGTTCATACAACCCCTTTAGGCAATTCTGACGCAGGCAGCAAGTTTGTGCACCACTGGATTAGTATACCCACATCCTCTCTGCCTTATTTGTGGTTGACACTCAATGGATTAAAAGACAACACCAAGAATTCAGTACAGCCCTCCATCAACAGTAAATATTTCACATGGTACCAGATTCAGGACAGCTTAGCAATAATAGTACATGAAACTCCAGCAATGCTATACTCTCTGCTCCCCACTTACCTTTCCTATATCTATCTGCTCATACATTAATTTCATGAATCATGAATTACTACAGAATTAGCCTTCACTGAACTGACCCTCAACATCTGGCAGTGCCTGCAATTCTGCAAAATTTCAATTGAGATATTTTATTACTTTAAATGCTGGGAAAACAGAGCTGGGGATATGGCTTATGTAGGATGCAGGCTCAGCATGTACAAGGCCCTGGGACAGAGTATCCCCTGCATCCAAAAAAATAAAGAATAAATAAATAAATAAATAAATAAATAAAGCCAGGAAAATGAAACAAATACATCGTATGATGAAGGTAAGCACCAAATCAATGATCACAATTATCACCCTAGATTTAAAAAATAATGACTACCCAAATCTAATTTTCTTAACAGCATTTAAAAAACACTTTATCTCCCAAGGATCCCTACAAAGACTGTATGTGATCAGACCCAACCTGGAGCTCTTAGCTGTGGAAACAGACATTTATGCTCTGCTGGGTTAATAAAAATGATGGTCAACTCAAAACAACAACAAAAAACAAAACAAAACAAAAAAAAACATGGTACTAAAGAATCCATACAGGATGATTCAACTTCTGTGAAATTGTAAAATAAGTAAAACTAATATTAATTAGGGTGCATATGTCTGAAGCAAAACCATATAAAGGAGATACCAGTCACAATGATAAAAAATAAAATAAAATATAAGGCTGGGAACATAACCTGATCCTGGAGTGCTTGCCTAGCATCCATACAGCCCAGCATTCCATGCCCAGCCCAGCAAGAGGGAAAAAAAACAGAAAAAAGTGATTACTCTGTAGGAGAGGGAAGAGACTCTGTCTGGGAAGGATGGGAGTCTGCTTCCAAGGAACTGATAATATTCTAAATCTTACCACAGCAAAGGTTACAAGTGTTTTTACTTTATAATTTACCAGATTTATATGCTCTTCCATACGTGTTTTGCAAAAATAAACACATGCATTTCTACAACCACACATAATTTAGCAGGCTGAGGATGAGTTCATAGGCTCCCTCAAGTTCACATAACCCAGGTCTATGGTATCAAGTTATGTGAGATCAAAGAAAATCTTTAGCTTATAAAGCAATGGGAGAGCTTTGGCACATGCCTATAATCAACTTAGTGAGGCCCTAAGCAATTCAGTGAGGGATGGTGGGGGGGGGGAGGCTGGGAATGTGGCTCAGGGGTAGAGCGCTCGTCTAGCACATGTGGGGCCCTGGGTTCGATCCTCAGCACCACATAAAAATAAATAGAGGTATTGTGTCCAACTACAACTAGAAAATAAATATATATTTTTTAAAAAAGGGATGGTGGGGACTGGGGTTGTGGCTCAGCAGTACAGCACTCACCTAGCATGTGCAAGGTGCTGGGTTCAATCCTCAGCACCGCATAAAAATAAATAAATAAAATAAAGGTATTGTGTCCAACCAGAACTAAAAACAATATATATATATATATATATATATATATATATATATATATATATATATACATATCTCAGTGGTTAAGTGCTCTTGGGTTCAATCTCTGGTACCAAAAGAATAAAAGAGGGGCTGGGGATGTGGCTCAAGTGGTAGCGCGCTCGCCTGGCATGCGTGTGGCCCGGGTTCGATCCTCAGCACCACATACAAACAAAGATGTTGTGTCCGCCGAAAACTAAAAAATAAACACTAAAAATTTCTCTCTCTTTCTCTCACTCACTCTTTCTTTAAAAAAAAAAAAAAAGAATAAAAGAAAGCAATGGGAGGCCAGGTGCAGTATTACAGACCTATAAACCCAGTCAGTGATTCCGGAAACTGAGGCAGGAGGATCACAAGTTCAAGGACAGCCTCAACAACCCAGCAAGTCCATCTCAAAAATAAAACAAGTAAAAAGGGCTGAGGTATGTGGCTCAGCACTTGAGTGCCCCTGGGTTTTATATTTTCCATACCACAAAAAAATAAAATAAAGCATTATGGGAGGTGGAAGAAGCTTTGAGAGCAGGAAAAGTGAAAGAAGCAAAGCAAACATTAAGCCTCTGGATCAGTTCAAATTCTTACTTGGAGAAAAGAAACACCTACAACAGGCATAGCTCACATATGCCCAAGCTTGGTAAGGAATGCAATAGTGTTGAGAAAAGCATGTTAACTAATGAGGGTAGAGAGAAGTACAGCTTGTAAAGACATGTAAACTATTAAATAATTTATCTCTAAAGAAATAAATCCAAAACTACAAGTTTTATCCACCACCTACTCCAGAATATTGCTGTCCTCTCAGCCCTCCTGTGAATAAAGGGCTTGAAGTGGTAAGAAAACTGCAAACACCAATATAAGAGAGCAAAAAGTATACAACCTCCTGTCTTAGCAAAACATTATCAAAGAAGCCAGCCTTGGGGAAATTATGGAACTGACAAAAAGTTACAAAAAGGCATTTCCACCAGCCTTGGAATAAATACACACATTGCAACTAAATGATAAACACATATCTGGATGTTTCTAGTTTGAATTCCAATACAGCTCTCCTCCACCTTACAGTTCCTGAAAAGAATGAAGGTTTTGCTGAAGGTAACAGGAATCCAAGATAAGCCTACACTGATGAAATAAGTAATTCAATGGAGGTGCATTTTTGTCGTGTTTTCGTTGTACCCTTAAAGAAATATTTACTTATATCCAGCAATTACTCATTTATTTCACCAGATTTGGGTTTATACCGAACAAAACTATCGATCATTTTCAAAACAATTGGTGTTCCTGTAGACCATCAAATGCCTTATTTTGAAGAAAGGTCCAAGTAATGGACATAAGGAATTATTGTTAAGTTTCCAAGATTCTCCCCAGGGCATCAAATGGACCACTTCTTCATGTTCTGCTCAAGTTCTTTCCTTTCATCCCATTTCCTACCCTCCATTTTCTCCCACTGGCCCATTGGCTTCTTCAGTTGACCAGTTTCTCTGGCTGGTTAAGGAAGCCACCTTGAGGCGCTTCTCTGCTGGGAGTGTACATCAGACTCCACTTTCCAAAGAGGCTCCCAAGGAATCCTTGTCTGACTCTTTCTTGCTCCCTTCCTCTCCCTCCTTTGTAGTCACTCCCCCAAGTTTGCTCTTCCCTCTACTTCTCAGATAACTCTGGTTACCCAGTTGGAACCAAAGACCAAAGAATTTCCTCTTCATTATGTTTGACTGAAAAGCCGCCCCAGGAAGAGGGAAGGGGTGTGGATCCACACTTATTCACTCTTCCACTTAAGCGCCAAACTACTTGACCCGTGCCGCTTTTGTACACCCCAAAACACAAGTCCATAAAAGAAATTCTAGGCCCAGAGGGGATCCTCTGTCCAAATGAATTGCCTTTAGGAGTGCTATACTCGGGACTTCTCTTTACTGCGGGGTGGGTAACTCCAAAGCAGGTCCTGCAGAAAACTGGAGAGCTCGCGGTGGGGGAGGGTGGGGGCCAGAGGTCCGAAGTTCAAGGGGCACCGAAACAAGACCTGACTCAGTTCGAGCACGTGGTTTGACCTAGTAGAGGTGGCGCTGGCGAAGCCCCTGGGAGGGGTCGTGGTCCACCGAGAGGGCCAGACCCAGTGAGTCCTCCTCTGGCCTCTGACTCACCCAGAGATAAGTAATCACTCGGGCCACAAAACGAGCCAGCAGCTCGTGGACTTCGTTTACACGGAAATTTTGGAGCTTGGGCTCCAAGAGCACTAGCAGGTAGAGACCGGTTTAAATGTGCCCCGGCTCAGCCCCAGAAGGAGGATGTGGATGGATAGGCCACTCGCCCTCCCTCTCGCGTCCGAGAGTTAAAAGGTGCCGCTCCCACCCAGGCGGGTGAGGGCAGCGCAGCCGTCCGGGACAGGACCCGAGTGGCCCTGGAGCGCTCCGTCCCCGCCGTCCAGCCCCGCGCCCCGCGTCTCTCACCTGCGGCCGGGTGGCCCGAGAGCGCACGGCCCCGGGCGCGGCGCGGGCCCCCAACCTCGCGGCGCTCGCGCAGCTCTTCCTCCTCGTCCTCCCGCCGCCGGCCCTCAGCCATGGGCGAGACGCGGAGGCGCAGCCGGGGACGGCAGGCGAGCAGCGGCCCCGGCGCCCGGTCCGCTGGCACCGGGTGCCCCTGGCCGGCGCCCTCTGGGCAGGAAAGCGGCCCCAGGAGAGGAGGTGGGGGCGGCGGCTGAAGGAACCGCCACCTCCGCGAACTCCACCTGCAGCCGGAGGGGGAGCTGCCCGGCGCGGGCCGAGCCGAGTTCCCCGCCTCCTCGCCGCACACCGGCGGCCTCCTCCCTCCCCCTCCCACTCTGTTCCCCCTTCCTCTTCCCTTCCCCGCCCCGCGGAGTTCCAGCCCGGGATCGGGCGGGCGCGCGCCGAGCCTCGCCCCCTTGGGGAGGGGTTACTGGCCACTAGGGCCGCCCTCCCGCCACACGCGGCAAACACCCCCTCGACCCAAACAGACCCGAGCGGAATACTAAAACCGGGTCGGGGTTGGGAAGAGGAGGAGGCCTGGCCTCTTCCTGCCCTTCCACAACATTCCGATGTCAACAGGAAACCCATTTGCTTGACACTGAAACAAAAGGAGGAGGAACCTGTCCCGGAGCCGGGGAGATAGGACAGCTGGGAGCTGCTGCACTTCGGGACCAACTTGGCTAGGAGCTGAGCCCAGCGTCTGCGATACACACTTTTCCTCTTCTCACACTTTAAAATCTGTCTTGCTGAGGTTCAGAGGACTTTTAAGGCAGTGAAAGTACTCTGTGGGATACACGTCGTTGTCCTTTTGCCCAAACCCAGAGAATGTACAGACTGAACTACTTTGCGGGACAGATGCGAGTCGGTGCAGGCTCATCAGTTGTAACAAAAGTATTCTATGGATGACGGGGAGCCGTGCGGTGTGGGGGCAGGGGAGCTCACACCTCCACCTCAGTTTTGCACCAAATCTCTAAGATAAACACAGTGGCAAGCGCCTGGAATTCCAGCGACTCCAGAGGCTGAGGCAGGAGGATTGCAAATTCCAGACCTAGACTAGACGATTTGGTGAGACCCAGTAGTCAAAAAAATCAGAAAGAAAGAAAAAGAAGGAAGGAAGGAAAAGAAAAGGGGGGCGTGGAGATGTAGCTCAGTAGAGCGCCCCTAGATTCAGTCCCCAGCACACATACACACACACACACACACCCGAAAAATAAAGCTTTGTGGGTTTATTTGTTTATTTTTAAATTGCAGATAGACACAATACCTTTTTTTAAATTTATTTTTATGTAATGCTGAGGATCGAACCCAGTGCCTCACACATGCTAGAAAAGAGCTCTACCACTGAGCTGCAACCCCAGCCGCCCCCCCCCCAAATAAGTTAATAATTAAAAATAATAATAATAGGGGCTGGGGCTGGGGCTGGGGCTCAGCGGCACAGCACTCGCCTAGCACATGTGAGGCTTTGGGTTCGATCCCCAGCACCATATAAAAATAAATAAATAAAGGTATCATGTCCATCTACAACTAAGAATAATAATAATAATAATAATAATAATAATAATAATAATACCTCACGGTATTCCAGTTAATTGAGGATTAGGAAAAGGCTACAGTCCCTGGAAGGGCAGGAAGAAATGTGTTCAAGGCCTCCAACCAAATATGTAGAGAGATGACTTGGCCAAGTGCTGACACTCTCATTGGAAGCACTTGGCCCTCCTTGTTTTCAAAGCTGGAAAGAACTGTGTAACAAAAGTTATTGTGTGTACCTAAATAATCCACATCTAAGGTTCTGTGGGCACGCATATGTATGCTTGACATAGAGGAACAGATTCTGGAATCTTCACAAAAAGATACCTAAGCAGCAGGAAGAAGCATTGCCTGGACACGAAACCTTAGGATACTCCTGCGTGGGATGAATGGGCCTTTATCTTCAGCCTCCTGCTCTATTTTTGAAAGACTGTGAGAACTCCCAATGTTCAGCATGTAAGAGAAAAAAAGAAAAGGAAAAGAGGGTCACTGGAAACGAATTGCCTGCCATATCCAAATGCTGTTCTTTGCCTTCTCAATAGTGTTTGCTGCAGCCTGAGCAAATCTTTCCATTTTTAAGCAGCTGAGAACCACAATTGATTTTGAAGAATTGAGGTCAAATCCACAAGTTGAAATTTTTTTTTAACTTTTATTTATTTTTTTAAACTCTTTTTTTTTTTTTACTTTTTTAGTTGCAGATGGACACAATGCCTTTATTTTGTTTATTTATCTTTATGTGGTGCTAAGGATAGAACCCAGTGTGCCTCACATGTATGAGGCAACCCCAGTCCCACAAGTTAAAATTTTATCACACTGCATAAACAGTTAAATAAATAGACACCTGGACAATTGGAAATTAAACCACAGGGGGGGAAAAAAGATTATGGATGTTAGTGCTGTTTTAAGTGTTTGGGATTCACTTTAAGTGAAAACATGATCTGTCACTTGACCTTCAAGGATGAGTAATAATGCTGGGCACAGTGACACACACCTGTAATCCCAGCAATATGGGAGGCTGAGGAAGGAGTATCATGAGTTCAAGGCCAGCCTCAGCAACTTAGTTAGACCCGGTCTCAAAATAAAAATAAAAAGAATTGGGGGGACTGGGGTTGTAGCTCAGTGGTAGAATGCTCACCTAGCATGTGTGAGGCCCTGGGTTCCATCCTCAGCACCACATAAAATAAATAAATAAAATAAAGGTGTTTAAAAAAAATAATTGGGGATAAATTTCAGGTGGTCAAGCACCCCTGAGTTGCATCTTCAGTACCAAAAAATAAAATAAAATCTGGGAAATAAAGGAATGATTTGATGGCCCTATCTTTTTCTTTTTCTTTCTTTCTTTTTTTGTCAGCCCAGGGGATTAAAACCAGGAGTACTTTACCACTGAAATACATTCCCAGTCCTTTTTAAAAACTTTTATTTGGAAAGGTGTGTTGCCAAGTGCCCAGGCTGGCCTTGAACTTGCAATCCTCCTGCCTCAACCTCCTGAGGATCTGAGATTAAAGGTGTGTGCCACTGTACTCACCTAGCAATATTTTTTTTAAAACTTAATTAGTCAAATGGTCAATAAGAACATAAAAAGATGTTCAACTTCATTAATCATTAGGGAAATGTAAATCAAAATCACATGAGCTACCACTTCACACCTACTAGAATGGCTAGAAGAAAAAGACCATAATAAGTGATGATGAGGACCCAGAGAAATTGGAACTCTCATTTATGACTGTGACTGGGGAATGTAAAATGGTACAGTCAGTTTGGAACAATTCAGCAGTTCTTCAAAAAGTAAAAATTAGAGTTACTGTGTTATGCAGCAATTCTAATTCTAGTTATATATCCAAGAGAAATGAAAACACACAAAAAAATGTGGTTTTTTGTACATGAATGTTTGTAGTAGTATTATTCATAATAGCCAAAAAGTAGATGCAACCAAATATTCATCAATTGGTGGATGGATAAACAAAATGTGGCCTATTCATAAAATGGAGTATTATTCAGCCATAAAAATGAACTACTGATACATGCACAACATAGGTGAACCCTGAAAACACTGTGCTAAGTGAAAGAGACCAGAGACAAAGGATTCCTATGATGTGTGATTCTGTTTCTGCTAAATGTCCAGACTGGGCTAGTTCATAGAGACAGAAAATAATTAATGGTTGCCAGAAATGGGGGGTGGGATGATGGCTGTGGGTACAGGGCTTCTTTCTAAGGTGACGAAAATATTCTAAAATCGGAAGTGATGATGGTTGCACAACTTGGTATACTAAGGGATAAATTTTATTTTAAGCTAAATACACTAGAGAATGAATTTCATGGTACGTGAATTGTATTTCAATAAAGCTGTTAAAACAAAAAGCGTAATCAGCTTACCAGAAAACACAAAAGAATAAACCCGGGAAAGGACTGCACTGTGAAGTGTTCATAGTGAAGTAGAAAACCAGGTGGCAGTTACAAGCAATAACAATCTGTCATAGGAAAGAAAACCAAAGGTGTGGCCAACCAGCAACTAAACAGACATGCCAAAACATCCTTACCCTCCCAAGTGACACAAGAGCCAAACCCATAGAAGGGAAATGATAAGAAACTTGGAAGGCTGGGGTTGTGGCTCAGTGTACAGTACTTCCTTGCATGTGTGAGGCCCTGGGTCCAATTCTCAGCACCACATATAAATAAATGAACACAACAAAGGTCCATCAACAACTACAAAATAATTAAATATATATATATATATATATATATATATGAGATATTGAAAAAGAGCCCTCGTTATGAAGGAGAATATTATATTCTTGGCTTCTCACTTTCGATATATTGACAGAACCTGAAGCAAAATGGTGTGTAACAATTTACACTACAAAAAAAGAGAATATGCTACATAAATATGTACGTGATACGGTGTTTGGCAAGTAGAAGCACAATAAATATTTGTTTAATGACTCAAAAAAACATAATTTCTTTACTTTTTCCTGCTGAATCACCAGAAGGCATGAATCTTAAGTCCTTTAACCTAAATAAAAAGTGACTGTCTGGAATTAAAATTTTATAGCTAATTGGTAGACGTTTACTAAAACCATGTGCTCTTTTAGGGCTTAACCTACAAGATACGACTGTCAGGATTCTGCCTCAAAATACTTTTCTGTGCCGCTAATAATCCAAATAAAATTTAAAAAAATATAGCTAAAGACCTCAAAGAAGATAAAGTAAGGATGGACAGAGACGTACAGTGGATTTAAAAGTACAGTACGTTCCACATTTTGGTGATTTGGGTGAGGGGAGGTTTGATTCTAGGTCCTTCCATACATTGAGCTACATCCCCATCCCTTTTTATTTTTCATTTTGGGACAGGGTCTCCTAAGTTGCCCAGACCTTGAAATGTCAATCCTTCTGCCTCTACCTTCTGGATAGCTAAGGAGTATAAGTGTGTGTGTGTGTGTGTGTGTGTTTTGGTACTGGGGTGTCACAAGGGGGCAAAAATGCGACGTATGCAGTCGAGAGGAGAAATAATGTCCACGTGCTTCTGCCCCTTTCAATGCTTTATTCACTCAAATTACTCAATACAATTTCACTCTATAGGTTCTTAATCAAGAAAACGACTATCCTTAATGCTGGGCACTGCAATAGACATAATCAATTCACAGCAAACAATTCTAGATTAATTCTAAGCACTGCAAAACACACTTAATCATGGCAGGCTAATGACAGACATTCCCTCTGCATGTTAAGTTCAAAAGTCAGATCAAAAGCCTGAGGCCTTAGGTTTTAAGTCCAGCAGATACACACTCACTCAGACCACGGT